CCCCCTGCTGGGCGCGGGCAGCAGCGCCTTCGCCCCGCCTCTGCGTGCTCTAGGTGAACCGGGCGGACGTGGAGGGTGGGAGGGTGCGGGACCTGGGACCAGTCTCCTCTCGCATCCTCATTCGCCACCTCTCCCCAGACGACCTCATGCTGCGCCGGCGGCCTCCCAAAGCCTGGAACGAGTCGGACCTGGACGTGGCTTACGAGAAGAAGTCCTCACACGCAGTCAGCTACGAACGTCAGTGATGGGAACCGGGGGCGGGGCGGGGGGGGGGCAGCCGGAGAGGCGGCCCCCAGATCCTAATGACTCCCCCCTCGCAGGCCTGGACGCCTTCGGGAGGCCCTCCTCCCCGGGCCTGCAGCTGTTACCCTGGAGAGAGAGCAGTCTGGACGGGCTGGGGGCCACCGGCAAGGTGAGGGGCTGGAGCAGCTTGGGGAGGGGGCTGTCGGGCAAGGGCCGGGAGCGGGGTCAGGGCTAGTCTCCCCCTCCAGGCCGCGCCCCCATTTTCTGTGCCCTTCCCTCAAGCGCCTCCTTCTTTATCGTGGATTTCCAGTCCTTCCCTGTCCTCTTCCCCTCACTTTCTCCGGCTTCCCTCACCTCCTTCTCTCCCTTCTCATCGTTTGCTGCCCCCCCTTCCCTTATCTTCCTCCCGCCTGAGCCCCTCTCCCTTCCCTCCTCCCCCCTTTCTCCCCAGGACAACCTCACCAGCGCCACCTTGCCCCGCAATTACAAGGTCTCCCCTCTGGCCAATGACAGGCGTTCTGACGTGGGCAGCTACCGCCGATCGCTGGGCTCCCCGGGGCCATCAGGCACTTTGCCGCGAAGCTGGCAGCCTGTCAGCCGCATCCCCATGCCTCCTTCCAACCCCCAGCCTCGGGGCGCCCCCCGCCAGCGCCCCATCCCCCTCAGCATGATCTTTAAGCTGCAGAACGCCTTCTGGGAGCATGGGGCCAGCAGAGCCATGTTCCCTGGCTCCCCCATCTTCTCCCGAGCTCCTCCGCCCAAGCTGCCCCCCCAGCCCCAAGCACCTCCCCAGCCCCAGCTACAGCCCCAGCCCCAGCCCCAACCACAGTCCCAGGTGCCCCCACAGCCCCAGTCACAACCACCATCCCAGCCTCAGCTCCAGCTTCAACCCCCTGCCCCAGTGCCCCAGTTCCCCCAACAGACGTGGAGTGAAGGTGAGTCAGCAATGGGGATTCCAGAGGGCTTGGTGAAGGGAGG